GAGAGGGGCGGGAACGGTTTGGCGGGGAATCGGGGGCGGTGTCCCGGTGACGTCATAGCGGCGGGGTGTCGTCATGGAATCGTCATGGGATCGTCATGGGATCGTCATGGAACCGTGGGATCGTCATGGAAAGTTCGGGGAGGCATGGAATCACAGAATTGGAGCCTGAAGGTGGAATCTCGGACCTATGGAATTCCCCGTCGGTTTTCTCAGCCCCCGTTGCCATCGAATCGTGGCGGAATGGTGGAATGGTAGAACGGCAGAAACACGGGATCACGGAATTATTCCATCACAGAACTGTGGAATCACGGAACCACAAAATTCCTGACTCCTGGGATCGTGTAGAATCCKGGGGTTATGGTATTGTGCGGTTGGAAGGGATCGTTAAAATCACCCAGTCCAAGCCCGGGACACCCCCGATGTCCCTGGGGACATTTTTCCTGCTATTCCTTGACCCCTCTGTCCCGGCGGGGCCGATCCCGAGCGGGCACCGCGGGCGGACGATGGCGCTGCCGGTCCTGCCTGTCCCATCGGGGCCGGGACATCCCAACCGGTTCCTCCGGCCCCGCGGGCTCGGTGCCGGCGCCTCCGGAGCCACCTGCGGCGAGTCCCAGCCTGTCACCGCCCTCCTTCTTCCCAAATCCCGGGTTAAATCCCGTGTCCCGAACCCCGACCCCGGCCGGGATCGCCCGCCCTGGGGTCATCCCGCCCCGGGAGGACCGGGCGGATCCCGGGGTAAATCCAGGGGTAAATCCCGGGTTAGATCCCAGGGCAGATCCTGGGATAAATCCCGGCGTAAATCCCGAGGCGGATCCCGGGGTAAATCCCGAGGTGGATCCCGGGGTAAATCCCGGGGTAAATCCCGGGTTAGATCCCAGGGTGGATCCCGGGGTAAATCCCAGGATAAATCCCGGGACAAATCCCGGAGTAAATCCCGGGTTAAATCCCAGGGTAAATCCCGGGTTAAATCCCAGGGTAGATCCCGGGATAAATCCCGGTGTAAATCCTGACGCAGATCCCAGGGTAAATCCCGGGGTAAATCCCGGTGTAAATCCCGGGATAAATCCCAGAGTAAATCCCGGGCTGCACCCCAGAGGTGTTTCCAGGCTCTTGGGGTGACCCAGACCGACTTTTCCCTGTGACCCCAGAGCTGAAACATTCCCTGAAACCCCTCAGGATCCCGACATGGGCAATGAATGAGCTCAGACCACTCGAGCTGGGTCGGTGCCTTTATTGCGGAGCTGAATCCCGGGGGGATCCCCTGGGAAAATGCTGAGGGGGCGAGCTGGGGGCGAGCTGGGGATGGGATGGGCTCTGAATTTTGGGGGATCCTCGTCCCGCTGCGGCCGGGGCGGGGGTCAGGCGTTCTCCCAGAAGAAAGTGTTACAAGCCACGGTCAGRGCGGCCACCAGGACCACGAACTCCTGGAAATCCACCTCCCCGTCGCCGTTCTCATCCAGGTCCTGCATGATCTTCTCCACGGCCCCCGCGTCYTTCTGGGTCTGGAAAAGGCACGGGGTGAGCCCCGGAGACCGGGCAGCCTCCGTTCCCCCGGTGAGGAGGGGGAAAAGGAGCCCCCCAGTCCCGGACTGGTCCCAGTTACCTCCAGGAAACATCCCAGCTCGCTCTGCAGCAGCTCCTTGAGCTCCTTCTTGCTCAGCTTGTATTTGTCGCCCTCYTTGCCCGAGTAGTGGTGGAAGACGTTGATCAGGCTCTCCATGGCCCCTTCCAGCTGCGACCCCATGGCTGAGGCTGCGGGACCCCCGGCATGTCACCCATGGGACCCCCGGGTCGCTGTCACCCCCTGGTGTCACGCCCCGGTGTCACTCACGGGACTTCCCGGCTGGCTGTCACCCCCCGGTATCACTCCCCGGTGTCACCCGGCTCGCTGCCACCCCCCGGTGTCACCCATGGGATCCCCAGCTCGCTGTCACCCCCCGGTATCACCCCCGGTGTCACCCACCGGACCCCCCCTTCGGTGTCACCCCTCGCTGTCACCCCCCGGTGTCACCCCCCGGTGTCACCCCTCGCTGTCACCCCCCGGTGTCACCCCCCGGTGTCACCCACCCCTCGGGGGTGCTCCGGAGCGGGGTCCCGCTGTCCCCGGTGGCTCGGGGTTTTTTTTTTGGGGGGGGGTCGGGACAGAGTCACCTGCGCTCACCTGAGCTCCCCGCGCTCCGAGTGCGCCCGCCCGGCCCGCCGGGCACGTTAAATAAGCTCCAAACCCCCTCCCTCCGGGAGGATCCGATACCGGGGCTGGACAGCCCGGCTGGCACCGCCGGCCACCCCCGCGGGGGCCGAGCTTGGGGGGCAAAACCCCCGGGGTGACCCCGGACAGCACCCCCAGACCATGGGGACACGGCTGAGGTGGCGGTGTCACCTCGGGGGGCTCCCGGTCCCCGTGTCCCCATCCCCGCGTGTGCTCCGGACCGCGCTGCGCTCCGGTGACATTGAAAAAACCCGGGACCGGCTCGGGGGTCCCTCCCCGGGCTCAAACCCCACCGGGGACCCCCGCGTGACCGAGATGGCCACACCGTGACCCCGCGGTGTCACCGGCGGCATCCCCCATCTGTCAGCGGCTCGGGGCCGGAGCGGCGGGCCCGGCTCGGTGCCCTCCCCGCCGCCGCGGCTGATAAAGCTATCCGGTGTCRCCGGGAGCCAGCGGGGCCCGGGGGGAGCCGCGGGGGCTATCGGGTGACTCCGCGGGCCCCCCGCGCTCTCAAAGGCCTCTTGTCCGGCTCAAAAGGCCCCACAATCCCGAGCCGGACGTTGCTCCAGCAACGCCTCGGCCAAGAAACCGGATTCCGAGCGATGCTGATAATCCCGAGGATCCCGTTACGGCCCCGGATCCGCGCCGGTTGGACCCCCGTGGCCTCCGCGGCTCCGGCATCCCCGGGGGAGCTCGGGCCCCGCATTCCTCAGCCCCCAAATTCCTCGTTCCCCCTTTTTTTGGGACCCTTTCCCAAACCGGAGCCGCGTTTTCGCAAGAGCCGGGAGGTGCCGGGCTCTTCCTCCCGGGTTCCAGCCCTAATTTGGGGTTCATTTGGGGTTAATTACATCCCGCTCCCTCCGTTCCCGTCTCCCCACATTTCCTGTCCATCCGCGGCCGGGGATGGGCCCTGCTGAGGACCCCAAAATTGGTTCTACCCCGGAATTTTGGGGGCCGGACCGGGGTGGAGGTCCCGGCTGGGATTGGGAACCCCAAATGGAAGCGAAAATCCCAAAAGGCAGCTCTGATTTTGGTCTGGGGGGCTCCAGGAGGGGGGGTGGGACCCCGAGCCTGGCTTTGGGGACACCGGGCAGGACCCCCGGTGACACTCACTGGCTTTGTCCCCGTTCCCCGGAGCGGCTCGGCAGCGGGCGGGGTTCCGGTAACACCGGCAGCAGCTGCTCGTGACGGGGACGGGCATTGCCCAAAAATAACCCGAGCGACAGAGGGGACAGAGGAGGGGACAGAGGAGGGGACAGAGCCACGAGCGGAGCTGGACATTCCCGGAACCCCGAACGTTTTGGGGGAGTAGGACCCGGCCCCAA